GCATGGACTCCACTTGGTACACTCCGCAGCGCAGCCAATCGCCTCACAGGCTGGCAGCCCTCACCCATCTTCTCCCTCCTCTATAGTTTGGGTTCAATTTTGGAATTGGGATTTCACAATTGCCGATTCCAAGCTTGGTCATTCAGGTTTTGTTTGTGTGGCTAATGGGTTGAAATTTGGTCCAATTCATTGGGCTTTATTATGTTGAAAAATGCCAGCCTAGCCACCCCCAAAAACTGAAACAAAACCAAGGAAAAAAAAAACCTATTGCAACCCGGTTGCCTTCTTCATTCTTCCCAACGGACGACGTCGACTCACATCGGAGACTTGAAGCTCCGACGGATCCAGCACAGGCGATCGCGGCGGCTGGCCAGGTGCTGGGTCCACCCCTGATTAGTCACAACCTAAGTGCCAATTTTTGTGAGTTTTCATGTCAAAATAGTGGTCATATGTGCCTTTCAATTTTGGGGATATTTTCCATACTAATTTTCACCATTTTTCTACCATCCTTTTATTCTCTCCATTGCTAGACAAAAAAAAAATGGAGGTTTTATAGGAGTTATGGGAAGTTATGGGGAGTTGTGGATTTGAATTTCAAATTCAAATTACTCCCTCTAACCCTTTTGATGTCTTGTGGATTGGTTCACCCTACATGGGAGACTCATGATCCATATTTTTTAAACACTATGTAAAGTCCCTCTTTGTTTGAACTAAAATGAAGTTTATGTCTGCCTAAAATCGACAATCCCAACACGAGCAATATATTTTTCGTAATGTTTATTGTATCTGGTAGTGCCAATTTTTTATTTCCAAGAGAAGTCATTTTCACAATAGTTAAAATAAGTTTTCAAAATGGGCTCCCCGTTTTCAATCATCTTCTTTTTCTTGAAATTATTCAAACGGTTTCGTAGCATCGGCATTTTTTGTAGTTGGTGGATCGCATGCTTGAGAAAAAACATATCGAGAGTATTAGAACAAAAAAAACTAGTAAAGATCCCCATTCAGAGTTCATGATTCCGGTGTAATACATAACGAATTTTTCATGAAATTTAGAATTAACATGGCTAATAAAAACTTGGAATTAAATAAATAATTGGAAGGAATTGAACAAAGGAAAGTATGAACTGAAGAAATGTTAAGAACCAAAAGAAGAATTGTTTAACAGTTGCAAAGTTATACTGCTAAAATGATGCTACGAGTATTAGGAGATTGTAGAGAATGTTTGAATTTGATGGTTTGGTTTGCAGATGTCCCTATTTATAGACGTCAGATTAGGAGGGGAAATTAAATTCAAATTTCAAATATTAATTTACTGCAATTGGAGATTTATAATGTCATGTTTGTGACACAGTCAAACAACTATTTCGGTGCAATTTATAAGTGCTAGAGGAGCCTACTTGGCTCACGAACTGACAACGAGCTTGACTTGCGAGCCACTCTCAAGCGGCTCATGTAGCTAAATAGTCGTTCAGCTCGCATCCATAGCTCCTCAAGGTGCAAGCCAAGTCGACGAGCAGCTCCCACACTTCCCATCCCTAAGGGCATATCATCATTTCTTTTAGCCTTGTTTGACAGCAATTATCTGAAGATTTTAATTAGAAATTAGACCGTTATACAGTCATACAAGTCCTTCTATAAAAGCAGTTTTTGAATCAAAAATTACCAAATAATTAAAGTAGACTAATGAAAAGACGTGTGCCCCTTTGTTTGTTTTTTCAATCCTCTCCAAATTAGGCATTTATGGGATTTCACATTCAAAAAAAAATGTTGCTTTACTTAGTGGGACCCATTTGCTATGTATAACGTTCTAATTTATGCTAAAAAATCTGAATAAAATCCGTCCCAGGGCACCTAATATAGTCATATTTTGATCATTTCATTTAACTAGTTGAGCTTGTGATCTCATATGGTGACATCCATGCTTTCTACATTTTATTATTTTAAGGAACATCCTTTGATGGTGTTCCAACATGTGAAAGCATCTAATTTTGAGACCATTCTCTTGTGCTTATATTTGTTGTATAGATGTCTGGCATCAGCGTCCTGTTACAGAAGCCAAGGAAAAACCAAAAATATGGCATAACATTGAATAAAATTAAAAATAAGACAATGGAAAAAGGATATGACATCCTTTTGGTCTAAGATACATAATAGGATTCATCTGATTCAAACTGCACATATTCAAGGTTTTGAATAACAAGATTGTGCCACAATTTCATCATTGTTTTTCGCATCTACAAGAGAAGCTAGCAATACCGCTGCTCTCCATTTTCTTCATCACTTAATATTTCTACCAATTGATTGTGCTCGTTTCTCTAAGAAGAGCCTTACGGTTGAGAAAATGAGAGAAGGCTCGGCCATTGCACCATTTCCGTTATCTCCACAGGCTAGCCTCTTTGTCACTGGTGGGATAAGGGAAATTCCAAGATCGTCAATTGTCATAAGATGCCGTTCAGTAAAAGGGTTATTCCACATTAAAGTATTCATGGCTGGAGCCACAAAAAATGGTTTACTATAGTCCCACGCACGTACAATGCAAGTCAGCAAGTTATCACACAATCCTCCAGCAATCTATAAAAAGACATCAAGAAATATAGTCAAAATGAGAATTGAATCAACCCGTAACAGCTATATAAGAAGAAAACTCGTTATAAAATCATACAAAACAAGATACAAGGCCTAAGAAGATATGTTGTTACTAACATGACTTCAAAAACTTGTACATGGAGCATGTTTGGCTAAGCTTAAAAGGTTCACTTATTAGTGAAAAAAGGAATCTTTAATAAAATAATTGTTTTATTGGTAAAAATAACAAATAAGTTACTTACTTTGAAAGTAAAAGGTAACATTTACTAATAGAATTACCTTAAAAGTAAGAAAAAAGTAAGTCACCCGAACAGATTTGAAAACAAATTTTACTAATATTTAAGCTTAGCCAAACAGGCAAAATGATCTAAGCCTGCATCTCTAATTAGCAGCCAATTTCTGTTTGTAATACACATGACATTACAGGTAAATCAGATAACAAAGATTATACCAGATATGTATACCTTGCCAAGTGTGTTTGCTGATAAAGGGGCAATGACCATAATATCAGCCCATCTTCGAAGTTCAATGTGCAGTACGCTATCACCTATATTCTTCCAAGTCGACCATTCATCCTCGTCGGTGTAAAAAGTCACATCGTTTGGAAGTGATGCAATGTCTATAAAATGCAGAGACGCCTTAGTTGCGACTGCTTTTACTTCTGCCCATTCAGAAAAGCAGTGACACAAATTAGCAAATTTTATAGCAGCCACACTTCCGCTAGCAGCAAGCAGTATCCGAGGCCTCCTTGCACCACTGTAAACTTGAAATAATTCCCTGTCTGCACTTGCAAGTTCCAAGTGTTCCATAACCTATTCAATGGACGACAACAATAGTCCAAGTAAGCCATAAAGAAACGAAAAACCCATAAAGTCACCAAACAAAAATTTTCCTAAAGATCCAGAATTGGCCAAAGAATTTGAAGAATAGCAAAAGTAGAAAGAATATGCCAATGGAACAAATTTTCAAGTTCTTCAGCCAAAAAAACTCTAATCTTCCAGGTTTAGACGACAGCAACTCTAATAGTCTGTATAAGAAGGATGTTTGTAGGAAAAGAGTAACAGTGTGACACAATTTGTACTCATAAGAGTTCTTCATTTTTTTTATTTTTATTTTTTTTTCTCTCTTTCTTTCCAGGTGAAGGGGAAGAGTTGGAGATAGTTCAATATACGAATTTATTGCATATAGACGTTTTGAAATATAGCATACAAATAAATTAGATTGGACATACTTTTTCAGTTGTCAAATTGAAATAGAACTCGCTGTGTAATTAATATTATAGCTAACAACTCATAGATTAATGTTGGGTATATCACCTACAACATAACATCTATCAAGTAATCAACAATTGTGCTGTTAGATACTTCTCCACTTTAAAGTTCATCATTTTTTTTCTAGTAAACAGTTCATGTATCAAGATCTAAATTTGTTTTCTGCAAATATCTCCAAAAATACAAATTAACCCACAAGCATTAGTTTATTCGAAATCAAATCAACAAAACCATATCAATTCTTATTCCCACTGGGGTACTCTGAATGAATCCTCCTTTCTCCATTTTACTCCACCACAAGGTTCTAACCCTCCTCAGTACATTTTACTCCACCACAAGGTTCTAATCCTCTTCGGTTCAATATTAAAAAACTAAACACTAGTAGACATTATTAACAATAATAAACAAAGATTTCAAACGTAAATGTTAGGGTTCGTTAACATTTTACACAACCAGAGTATCATTAATCATCAGCACAATTAACCAATATTTGCTGCAATCTTAGAGCAAAACACAACTCATATTTATACAGAAACAACAAAATAAGCTTCGTTCGCAATAAATTTGAGGTCAGCTACATGTAAACTTTTTCGCCCCTACTTTCTGTTCCTGCTAGATCTACAAGCAATAGTAATATGAATAAAGCTATATAATACACACAATGTAATCTGATCCCACCTATAAAAATAGTAAAAAATAAATAAATTACAAACTTGAACATCAACAATTTTAGCTGATAAAAATTTAGAAAGTAAACTGCCCATAACCACACTACACTAAACTGGAAGAAATTTTTTTTTTTAAAATAATAATAAAATAAAATAAA